GATAAAGTAGAATTTGCTTCCAGCAGACTTTCACTTAATGAAATTCAAGTTTAGGGCTAGAGTTGTGGCTCAGAGGTAGAGCACTCGCCTAGCATGTGTGAGGCACTGGGTTCAATCCTCAGCACCACATAAAGTAAAATAGAGACATTTTTGATTGTGTGGGAAATCATTGCTGTTTTTGTTTTCTATACTCCTGATTCCTCTATTAAAGTCTGTTAAAAAGAAAGAAAAAAAATAGAGACATTGTATCCACCTATAACTAAAAACAAAAAAATAAATATTTTTTAAAAGTTCAAATATAGATAGAAGGAAAGTAGTATGAGAAAGGAGATCTGATATACAAGAAGGGAATGGTGAGCAAAGAAAATGGTAATTGGGTCTGGGAATGTGGCTCAAGCAGTAGCACGCTCGCCTGGCATGCGTGTGGCCCGGGTTCGATCCTCAGCACCACATACAAACAAAGATGTTGTATCTGCCGAAAACTAAAAAATATTAAAATTATCTCTCTCTCTCTCTAAAAAAAAAAGTTAATAAAAGGACATTTTTAAAAAAAGAAAAAAAAATGGTAATCATCTGAGTAAATCTAAACAAGTGCTACCCATATAAAATAATAATGATGATCATTAATATTTGTGAGGTAAAAAAGAAAATGTAGAACTGGGGATGTGGTTCAAGTGGTAGCGTGCTTGACTAGCATGCATGAGGCACTGGGTTCGATTCTTAGCACCACGTTAAAAAAAAAAAAAAAAAGATGTTGTGTCTACCTAAAACTAAAAAATAAATATTGTTTTTTTAAAAAATAAATATTGTTTTTTTAAAAAAAGTATTGGACAACTAGGAGAGTGGTAAATATATTAGTTTTTCATATTTAGATTTTATGTTAATTTCATTTATTTTTAATTTTTTTGTACTGGAGGTTGAACTCCGAGGCACTTAACCACTGAGCCACATTTCCAGCTTTTTTATTTATTTATTTTTATAGTGAGACAGGGTGTCAGTAAGTGGCTTAGGGCCTTGCTAAATTGCTGAGACTAACTTTGAACTTGCGATCTTCCTGCCTCAGCTTCCTGAGTTGCTGGGATTACAGGTGTGAGCCACCATGCCTAGCTAGATTTTATGTTAATTTTAAATTAATTGCCATGCATGTTAAAATGTCACCAGGTAACTTCTGAAAGAAACAAATGCACCAGGCATGGTGGTGTACACCTGTAATCCTACCTACCCAGCAGCTTCGGAGGCTGAGGCAGGAGGTTCTTGAATTCAAAGCCAGCCTCAGCAATTTAGCAAGGCCTTAAGTAACTTCAGTGAGACCCTGTCTCTAAATAAAATACAGAAGATAGCTGGGAATGTGGCTCAGTAGTTAAGCACCCCTGTTTTCACTCCCCAGTATCAGTAAATAAATCAATGGGAAACATGCAGGGGTAGGGGTGTAGCTCAGTGGTAGAGCACTTGCCTAGCACATGTGAGGCACTGGGTTCCATCCTTAGCACCACATGAAAAAAATAATAAAATGTATTTTTAAAAAATAAACAAATGCACAACTTCTAAGCCAATAAAAAGGGAAAACAGAATTTTAAAAGATTTTGAAATCTGTGCCACTTTAGTTTTTATTTACCTCTGTTTTGCTAAATAACCTCTGTAAGCTTTAGTTTCCTCATTTTTAAGTTGTGGGTTAGTAGTAGTTACTACTACCTTTCCTACAGGGTTATTACGAAGATATAATCAGGTAAGGGATTAAGAAAGCTTAGCACAATCTCACACGTAAAAATTGTTCAGTGATTGAACGACCAACAATAAAAAAAAAAAAAAAAATTGTTCAGTGAGGCTGCTGCTTTTGCCATGACCCGCTATCAGAAGAATATAAAAAAGCAGAGTGATTCATATAAGGTGCCCAGAGCTTTTCGCAACTGTCTGCAAGCAGAGAAACTTGGAGACCATTAAGAAGCAGAAAAGGCAAACAAGAAGAAGGAACCCAAATAGCTTTGTGGCTGCATATCTAACTCTCTTGCTCTTTGTCTGTGTGCCTAGAACCAGTTCCACCAGGCTCATATTTCCTCCGGTAGTGCTCACAGGTCCCATCATCCATGACATTCCCTTTCCCCTGAATCTGCAGCTGATCCCTTTTATGCTTCCTGTCTCTAAGGTAGTCTCTTTCCCCCTGAGCCACTCCTGGGGATGAGAGGCTTATCCCTTCGGAGTGTTGTTTTGTTTGTTTTTTTAATTTTTGGGGGGTGGTTGTTGATAGACCTTTATTTTATTCATTTATTTATATATGGTACTGAGAAATTAACCCAGTACCTCACACATGCAAGGCAAGTGCTCTACCATTGAGCCACAACCCCAGCCCCCTTCACAGTGGTTTTTATTCCTGTGGGGCACAACCCAAAGTATTAAAGAGTTAGCTTTGTAATTCAATAAATAAATAAATGCTCAATAAATATTAGACATGACTGTATTGATAAAAGATTATTTTAGGACAACTCTTGCTAATGTGTAGACCCTACCTGCTAGCCTTTCACCCAGCTTCTCTCCAAAGACAAAGCTACAGCCAAATACAGCTAAAGAGTATTGAAAAGTTGAGCCAGTTACAGTGGTGCATGCCTGAGGGCTGAGGCAGGAAAGTTGCAAGTTCAAGACCTGCCTCAGCAATTTAGCAAGACCCTGTCTCAAAATTTTAAAAAATAAAGCTGAGCGTTATAGTTTACACCTGTAATCCCAGCAACTCGGGAGGCTGAGGCAGGGTGGTTGCAAGTTCAAAGCCAGCCTCAGCAATTTAGGGAGACCCTAATCAACTTAGCAAGACTATGTCTCAAAAATAAATAAATAAATAAAAATAAAAAGGGCTGGGGATGTAGCTCCATGGCTAAGCGCCCCTGAGTTTAATCCCTGGTACCAAAATAATAATAACAATATGAAGAAGAAAAACATAGATAGATAGATAGATAGATAGATAGATAGATAGATAGATAGATAGATAATTAGTTCTGGGGATGTAGCTCAGTGATAGACCCCCTGGGCTCAGTCCCCAGTACCAGAAAATATTGAACAACTCTGATAACTCTGATAGATCTTCCTTGTGTTAATCATAACCCTTTCCTTATAATCTTCAGAATTCACTATGTGCCTTTCCTTTAAAAGTTCAAAACATCAAAGCTTTTCACACTTGATCCCAACCAACTTCATCTGATAATTTTTCTTTAAACTTTTGAGTTAGAGTCTACAAACATATTTGTGATCTCCCTTCTTGACATTTTGCTTAGGATATGTATCCATTTTGAAAAATAAGTAGAATTTGGATGATTTCTTCCACCTGGAAAACCATCCCTCTCTTCCAGGTTCAACCTATTTATTCTTCAGTCCCCCCAGTAAAAGTCCTATAGGAGTTCCCAACTACTCTAAAAGTGATTTATGCCTCTCTTCTACTGCTTTTTCAAATGAATTTTTATTTGCTTTATATTGTAACAATTTTCATCAAGCTTACTTGGTTTTCCAGCTAGACTTTTAGCTTCTTAAGACAATAATTTCTTCTGTTTTTTTTTAATGTTTATTTATTTTTTAAATTATAGTTACACAAAATACTTTTATTTTATCTATTCATATGTTGTCCTGAGGATCAAACCCAGGGCCCTGCACGTGCTAGTGGGCACTCTACCGCTGAGCCACAACCCCAACCCTTCTTATGTTTTTATATATTCCCTGTAGTTTCTAAGGAAGAGGAACTAGCATTTAAACACCTCCAATATTCTAGGCACTATGCTAAATGCTTTATCATATATTTCATCTCATTTAATCCTTACAGCAAGCATGAAAATGGATACTAGTGTCCCCATTTTTTAGATGAGGATATTGTACTTGAGAAAGGTTAAGTAACAAAAAATAAAATAAAACCACACTTACCAAACTCAAAAAGAAAGAAAGAAAGAAAGAAAGGTTAAATAACATATCCAAGACACCTTAACTAGTCAGTGGGTTTCTGTAGCTTCCTATCAGATTAGCCTGCTTGGTTAGAAATGTAATTCCAAGGTAGAGAGCTAGCCTAGCATGTGCAAGGTCCTGAGTTCCATTCCCAGCCCTGAAAAACAACAACAAAAAATTGTATATAAGCATATTAAGGGGAAGTAAAAGACCTAAATGATTTAACTTTTTTCCTTTATGTCATATTTTTACCCCAGTCTGAAATTTAGTGTATCATGGAAACACTTCTAGAGAGCCAAAATTCTCTGGATGCAGTGGTGCATGCCTATAATCCCAGTGGTTTGGGAGGCTGAGGCAGTAGTTTTGCAAGTTCAAAGCCAGCCTCTAAATAAAATACTTTTCTAAAAAAGGGCTGGGGATGTGACTCAGTGGTAAAGGTCCACTGACTGGGTTCAATTCCTGACACCAAAAAAAAA